TCCCCAGCATTTGCTGTCATCAGTCTTTAAATTTTAACCTTTTTTTGTAAGTGCATAGAACCATCTCATTGTGGTTTCAATGAGCATTTTTTTTGACATCTAATGATGTTGAACACTTTTTCCTATGTTCACTGGCCATTTTTATATCATTCTTTGTAGAGAGTCTATTCAAGGGTTTTGCCTATTATATTACTGGTTTGTATGAGGTATTTACATATTCTATATAGATTCATATAGGTTATACTGTTTTCTAACTGTGAAGGAAAGCCATCAGAAGGTTTGGAACAAGGCAAAGCCAGTAGTTTAGTTATGCAGAATTTGCACTGTGCAATTTTAAATTTTAGGGGCTGCCATTCACATTTATAGTCATCATAGGTATGTATATTTGTTACAGTTTTCCTGGATATAACATTATATTTTGAGGAAGAAACATTTTTTTTTTCTAATTCACTCAGAAACACCACTTGAGGTAATGTTGGAGCACTGCCATAGATCTGTATAAGGCTCATTCTATCTTCTGTGTGGATAATTAACTGTGAGGAGGCAAGGAGAAGAGGTCATCCAAACAGAAGGTTGAAAGTGTCAATGAGGTGTTTTAGGAAATTTTGTTGTAGTTATTGTTTTTAGCTGTATAAGGTATGAGAAGAAAGAGGCAATTGAAAGTTGTAGCTATTCAGTTACTAAACAAAATTTAGAAGAAATATGAAGGGCCCCAATTATGCTAGATTGGAAGATGAACTTTTTTTTTTTGAGATGGAGTTTCGCTCTTGTTACCCAGGCTGGAGTGCAATGGCGCGATCTCAGCTCACCGCAACCTCCACCTCCTGGGTTCAGGCAATTCTCCTGCCTCAGCCTCCTGAGTAGCTGGGATTACAGGCACGTGCCATCATGCCCAGCTAATATTTTGTATTTTTAGTAGGGATGGGTTTTACCATGTTGACCAGGATGGTCTCGATCTCTTGACCTTGTGATCCACCAACCTTGGCCTCCCAAAGTGCTGGGATTACAGGTGTGAGCCACCGCGCCCGGCCAGAAGATGAAACTTTTTAACATCTCTGTCTCTCTGATGTGATGTTCTCAAGTAAGAAATAGCTTCAAAATTTAGATCAAATCAAGGGCAAGACTATAAACCTTCTGTTAAAATCTTTGAAAAGATTCATGGCTATGCTTGCTACACCCTCTTAGCTTGGCAGAAACGCTCCTGAGAATTTTAAAGGCATTGTTCTAACGTGATGTCTAAAGTAGAGAGAAACCTGCCTGAAAAATGAATTGTTGAAATGGGTTTTGTCTTGTAAAATGAACTGTAACTTGATAGAAAATAGAAAGCTCACAAAGTTTTAAGAGAGTTGTATTATATTAGACTAAAGAAATCAAAGATACTACAAAATGAAAGAGACCTCTTGGCTTCTAACTTTCTACAGGCTGAAAGTTTGCTGAGAGAGCTATTCAGCTGTCAACACAGCCATTGCTTACTAAAAAAGATGTTCCAGAGGGTAGAACCGAGACCCAGACTGAGAAAGGCCTGGAGGGGGAAAAAACCAAGAGATGAGAAGAACCGTGAGTTAGGGAACTATTAATACTTTCAGGAATTAGAACTGGGCCCTAATCAAGAAATAGTCTCTACTTCTGTGGAAGGTGAAATTAACAACGTGTGTAGCTGGAGGTAAGAATTGCTATAGACCAGTACTTCCATGAATTTCTTGTCCCTCTCCTTTTGAACGGGAGTGTCTGTAGCCAATATCCCACTACTTTTTCAACATTGTATATTGTATGTGTTGGAGGAGATGATGTCATTTTTGTTCAGAGGTATCTGGATTAAGAGGAGTGGTATCAGAGAAGATGTGTTTGAGAAACCACATCCAAAGTGCCTCATCAGTATCTGGACCAGATTTATATGATGAGATCAAGAATTTTAAGCCTGATGCTCTGACTGAATGAGAATTTGGGGGTATGAAGGAGGGATTGTGTAAATTTTGCATGGAGAAGGGATATGAATTACTCTGGCCTGAACTGTTTGTGGTAGATTTCTTGCAAAGCTGGCTGCAACAACTTCTCCTATTCTGCATGCCCCTCCTCCTACTTGGAGGCAGAATCTTTATCCCCTCTCCTGAATCTGGGATGTCCCCGTGATTTTCTTTGATCCACAAAATGTGGCAGAAGTGATGGTGTACAATTTCTGAAGCCTGGCACAGTGATACCTTGTAGCTTCTACTCCAATCTTTTGGAACAGTTTCCTGAGGCTTCCTAGGATGAAAGAAAACATGTAGAGCCATTAGTCACAGCTAACTGACAGACTTGGGAGTGGGGCCATCTTGGGGCTTACTGCTCAGCCAACCCTTCAGGTGAATGCAGCCCAGACGAAACCAGCCAATACACAGAAGTGTGAAAAGATAATAAATTGTGATTGTTTTAGGCCACTAAGTTTTTATGTGTTTTATGACACAGTAATAAGCAACCAAAGCTGAGACTGACTTTGTTATAAAGGAAAATCTTTCATCAAAGAAAACTGGCTCAGATAGCTTTACAAACAAATTCTATGATATTCATGGAGGAATAAAACTATCCCATATGAACACTCTCTAAACTAAAAGAGGAAGAAATCCTTAAAATCTAGTTTTATGAGATCAGCAAAACTGTGACATAAATAATGAACTAGTACATTTATTATTAGGAAAAAAGCATTAGATTACTATTCCTCATAACTATAGGTACAAAAATTCCTTAGAAAATATTGAACAATTGAATCACAGTATATAAAATGGAAAATATTTCAGTACCAAGGGGGTTTTATTTTAAGAATGCAAGGTTGTTCTAAGGGGAAAAATATGATCATCGCAATAGATGCATAAAAATTTGAAAATCCAATGCCCACTGGTGATTAAGAAATAGTAAGAAAAATGGAAACAGAAAGGAACTTTCTCTGCTAAAGAATATCTATAAAAATTCTACAGCTAATAGAGTGCATTCTCTCTAAAATCCAAAACAAGACAAAGATATGTGATCTTATCCCTTTTATTCAGCATTATGTTTGAGGTCCTAGCCAGCAGTAGGTCAAGAATCAAAAACAGAGGTTCAGGGATTGGAAATGAATAAGTACTGACTGATTGACTGAAGTATTTATTTTTTAAATAATGTGGTTGTTTACATAGACATTTCCAAAGGATCCTACTCCCACTGGAATTTTTTAAAGCAAAGGAATAGCCTGCTCAATGAATGGCAAAGGTATTTGGGGAAAGTTTAATGAGGAACCAGATTTTTCTATCATTTCAAAACATCTCTTATTACAGATCACATTAATTACAAAGGGAAAAAAATGGGAAATCCCCATAAATCTCATTTTAATCAGGTGGTCAAAGTAATGTCATCAATGACTGGACACACAATGACGCAAAGTTAATGTCATTAATCATGTACTTTCTGATATCATGCACAGAGAAGAAAAAATATCACTCAAGTAGTGCTCCCGTTCAGGATTCATAATTAAATCTAACTATGGAGAAATATTTTTTAAAAATCCAAATGAAAGGAAATTCTAAAAATTGACCTTTATTCTCCAAAAATGTCAAGATCATAAAGGTTTAGGAATTAAAGTGATGAAAATAATAAAATGGATCTTGGATTGGATCTTGAATAAGAGGAAAAAAATGATATAGAAGACATAAAATTTGAACATAGGCTGAATAGTAAACAGCATTACAGTATTGATGTTAGGTTTTCTGAATGTAATCAATATACAAAGGTTTTAAAAGAGACACTCTGTGTTTTTCATTTGGGCCTATGCTATCCTTCATATTGGAAACATTGTTCTTATTTTCTCCATCTATGCATTTTCTGCTCATCTTCAAATTCCTGTAGAATTCTCTCTTCTCTGAAACCTGTTCTGGTGACCCCAGCTCACATCCACGTCCCCCTCCTCAGCACGCCTATAGTAACACACTATTATATTGATAGGTAAATTAATGAAATAGAAGGCACAGCATATTAACAGATTGAAGAGACAGGATTCTGTACCTGGGCATGTCTTCTGTTTAATGATATTCATTTTTACCTGTTACTTGACTCACTTCTTACCTGTAGACATTTCCTCCTTGAGAAAGTCCCCAATTTCTCAAGAAGGAATCTATAATGATATATATACAAACTTCAAACCACAGCCAATATTTTACCCAGACTTAATGTGTATATAACTATATTGCCTACAAAAAGTTTATACTTATTTTTAAGAGTTTGGTGAACATAATACCAGAAATATATCAGATATACCTGATTTGCTTCAGAAGGCACAGGAAACATTCACTGAGTATGAACAGTGAATAAAATCAAATACTGCATGTTCTCACTCATAGGCGGGTGATGAACAATGAGAACACATGGACACAGGGAGGGGGGCACTACACACTGGGGTCTACAGGGGGGAATAGGGGAGGGACAGCAGGTGGGGGGGAGTTGGGGAGAGATAGCATGGGGAGAAATGCCAGATATGGGTGAAGGGGATGAAGGCAGCAAATCACACAGCCACGTGTGTACCTATGCAACTATCTTGCATGTTCTTCACATGTACCCCAAAACCTAAAATGCAAAAAAAAAAAAAAACCTGGATATTTCAGAGATGAAAAAAAAAGAGAGAGACATTAAGGTTGTGTGTCTATGCTCATCGCAAGTAAGCAGTTCAGAAAATTGCTTCTACTTTAAATGGACAATTGGCCAATCTCCATCCCATAGCGTTCTAGAAAAAAACTATCAAGAAATTAGAGTGCTGTACCTTAAGCCTAAGCAACCACTTAGTTCAACACCCTTCCCTCCCAACTCCCGCCATCTTTGCATTTCACAGGAAAACCAAACAAAGAAAATGGAGTCCTAATAAAAGAAAATTAATCACCCAAGCATATACAATTAAAGGGAAAAAATGGTCTAGAATCCAGTTCTCAGAACTTCTGTTGTTTTCTTTGCATATCAGCCTCTCCGATTTTACTCTTAAATACAGAAACTATTTAGGTGATAGCAACTACTGTAGTTGTGAGAATGCTTTACTTCTGTGCATACAGTGATAACAAGGAAAGGTGGAAGGGCTGCTATTTCCAACTTGCTTTGAATGAATGAAGTAACAATTTTAACCCTGAAGATAAGAATATGTCCTATTTAGCCTTTTTTTTAAAAAAATTTTAACACTTGTTTCTTCCCAGTACACCAGATAAAGGAGGCCTAACAAGCATAAAAGGTCCTGGGGACTCTAGGGCAAGGGGACAAAAGGCAACAGTACCAAATAAGTTCAGTTTATTCTCCATCACACAAAACATTCCTTCAGGCTTACTCTTGCCCTGTGCATACCAGTGGACTAAAAATAGACCCAATGTTTTTTCTTGAAACATTGTTTAGTTTACTATTGTTAAATTCTCCAGGCAGAGTGTTTTTCCTAGGAGATTACTTCTGGGGATCACAAAAGCTAAGGTTCTCCTGGATTCCTCCTACAAAGCACACTGCTCTCCTGGTCCCTTGAAACATGAACACAAACGCTTGTCTTTTTCCATTACACAGATTTAACAAGTCAGCTGTCATCTCCATGCCTCCGTTTTCTTGCCTGTAAAATGGGAACAACTGGTTATTTCATGGGTTTTGTATGGCTCTAAGTACATAAATGTGTGCAAATGTACAAGATTATTATAGTTGTCAGAGACCCATAAGAGGCATTTTTTTCAATAGTACCTATTATTTAAAAAGAGAAAAATGTTGGAAAAGTTTCTCTAAATGTTATCTTTGTACATTTCACCTGTCCCTCAGGTATCCCACAGCTTCTGACATGCATGCAGTTTCTCGCATTCCACCTCAACTCTGCTGTATTGGCCAGAGAATGGATCCTGACTTGATTTTGCCAGTCAGACAAATGCCAATCACTGTGCAGCCATTTAAAGTCTAGAGTGGCCATCTTACAATCAATAATGGGAAAGGTGATTACAAATGGGATTGAATTTTTTGGTAATATGTCTTTATGGATTTTTTTAAAAAGATATCTGATGAACATATCCTGTTATGCCTCTTACATGGTATATAGAAACCTGTTATAAATAATCAGACAACTGTCTTAAGAGGACCCTATTCTAACTAGTAAGTGTATTGTGGACTTCTTTTTATATCAATCCCATATGCCATGAGATCCCGAAGGCTCATGATCAGGTGTTATACATCTTTTATCCTTTACAGAGTTAATTAATGGTAAAAGTAATTTAGTGCCAGTATAGTGTCACTGAATGAATTGTCATTAGAGACTGAGCTTTAGACTGTTTTTAAAAGTCGTACAAGAAAGGCATGAGTTGACACAGCCTTCATTGCTGGTCAGGTATGGCCAAGGTGTAGAGAGTCAATAAAGTGAAACTGAGTTAAACAAATCAGCCTATGTGGACTAAATACACCAAAAACTTAGTATCTTACAACTAAGGTAACCACCCAGAGACAAAGTAATACTAGCTCCTATTGGTGTTGTTAGCATTATCACTATAACTTTTTTTTTTTTTTTGGTCTGGCTAATAGGAGAGAAAATAGGATTGACACAAATATTGACTGTATAACCTACTATGTTCCCTGCTCTCCTTCCAAAGCTCACAACAATCTTAAGAGGTAGAGAGGGAGATTATGGTTATGTTAATATGAAGTACAAAGATCTCTTTTCTAGTCTTCAACCCAGGTCTTTTGACTCCCCAGATCAAAATTTTGAATTTTACCTCTGATTATAAACATCACCTCTCTCAATGCTTTTGATTAAGAAATGTGAAGTTCTTTGTAAACATGAATTCACAATCAATGGTGAAAGCAATGACTTTGATGGAGTACTATGACCTTTATTTTACAGAGGAATAAATTCAAGTAAAAAGAGATAAATTGTTTCTAATTAGCCAACCATTAGATATAAAGCCCAGGTTTATTTTATTTATATCATTTATTCATGTAGTTATTAATTTGGTGAATATTTTTTAATCATCTACTATGAGCCAGGTATCTGGAATATGCTGAGAATCCAGAAATGAATAAAAGGAATGAAAATCCTTGCCCTAGAGAACCCAAATGTTAGTGGGAGGAATCAGACAGTAAAGCACTAAGGACATAATGAGAGTATTGTATAGGTGTTGAAATTTTAATTAAAACCATAGGAAAAGTCTCACCGAAAAGACAATATTTGAGTAAAAGTCTGAAGGAGGTGAGAGAGACCGCCATGTAGCTATCTGAGGAAAGCATTCCAGGGAAATGGAACTGCAAGGGCAAATGCCCTGAGTCACAGGAAAGATACCAGTATGGTGAGGACAGAGTAAGAGGGAGGGGTCAGAGAGGTGGCAGTCATTGGACCTAGGGATGCAGGGAACATGTCAATCTTGAGAACTTGAATGTTATTGCTCCAACTTTGCCTGATGATATGATTTGGCTCTGTGTCCCCACCCACATCTCAACTTGAATTGTAATAATCCCCACATGTCAAGGGTGGAACCAGGTACGGTAATTGGATCAAGTGGTGGGGGGGTCCCAATGCTGTTTTCATAATGAGTAAGTCTCAAGAGATCTGATGGTTCTGTAAGAGTCTGACATTTCCCCTACTTGTACTCCTTCTCTCTCCTGCTGCCCTGTGAAGAGATGCCTTCCATCGTAATTGTAAGTTTCATGAGGCCTCCCCAGTGATGTGGAACTGCGAGTCAATTAAACCTCTTTCTTTTATAAATTACCCAGTTTTAGACAGTTTTCTTTATAGTGGCATGAAAACGGACAAATACAGTAAATTGGTACTGATAGAATGGGGTGCTGCTGTAAAGATACTCAAAAATGTGGAAGCAACTTTGGGTAATAGGCAGAGGTTGGAACAGTTTGGAGGGCTCAGAAGAAGGCAGGAAGATGTGGGAAAATTTGGAACTTCCTAGAAACTTGTTGAATGATTTTGACCAAAATGCTACTAGTGATATGGACAATAACGTCCAGGCTGAGGTGGTCTCAGATGGAGATGAGGAACTTCTTGGGAACTGGAGCAAAGGTAACTCTTGCTATAGTTTAGCAAAGAGACTGGTGGTATTTTGTCCCTGCCCTAGAGATCTATGGAACTTTGAATTTAAAAGAGATGATGAAGGGTATCTAGTGGAAGAAATTTCCAAGTGGCAAAGCATTCAAGAAGAAGTGGAGGATAAAAGTTTGAAAAATTTGCAGCCTGATGATGCAATAGAAAAGAAAAATCCATTTTCTGGGGAGAAATTCAAGCTGGCTGCACAAATTTACACAAGTGATTAGGAGCCAAATGTTAATCACCAAGTCAATGGCGAAAATGTCTCTAGGGCATATCAGAGACTCTCATGGCAGGAGAGTCTCCCATCACAGGCCTAGAGGCCTATAAGGGAAAAATGGTGTCCTGGGCCAGGTCCAGGGTCCCCTTGCCCTGTGTAGCCTTGAGACTTGGTGCCCTGCATCTGAGCCACTCTAACCATGGCTAAAGAGGTCAGCCTACAACTCAGTCTGTTGTTTCACATGGTGCAAGCCCCAAGCCTTGGCAACTTCCATGTGGTATTGGGCCTGCGGGTACACAGAAGTCAAGAATTGAGATTTGGGAACCTCCACCTAGATTTCAGAGGATGTGTGGAAATTCCTGGATGCACAGACAGAAGTCTGCTGCAGGGGCAGAGCCAGCATGGAGACTTCTGCTAGGGCAGTGCAGATGAGAAATGTTGGGTTGCAGACCCCACACAGACTCCCTACTAGGGCACTGCCTAATAGAGCTGTGAGGAGAGGGCCATCATCCTTCAGACCGCAGACCCTGGAATGGTAGATCCACCGATAGCCTGTGCACCTAGAAAAGCCGCAGGCATTCAATGCCCCTCTGTGAAAGCATCCTAGAAAGGGGCTGTACCCTGCAAAGTCACAGGGGCAGAGCTGCCTAAGGCTGTGCAAGCTCACTTCTTGCATCAGTGTGACTTGGATGTGAGACATAAAATCAAGAGAGATCATTTTTGAAGTTTAAGTTTTAATGACTGCCCTATTGGATTTCAGACTTACATGGGGGCTGGAGCTCCTTTGTTTTGACCTATTTCTCCCATTTGGAATGGGAAGATTTACCCAATGCCTGTACCCCCCTTGTATCTCAGAATTGACTACCTTGCTTTTGATTTTACAGGCTCATGAGTGGAAGGGACTTTCCTTGTCTCAAGTGAGACTTTGGACTTGGACTTTTGGGTAAATACTAGAATGAGTTAAGACTTTGGGGGACTGTTGGAAGGGCAAGATTGTGTTTTGAAATATGAGGACATGAGATTTGGGAGGGGCAAGGGTGGGATTATATGATTTGACTGTGTGTCTCCACCCAATTTTGACCTTGAATTGTAATAATTTCCATGTGTTAAGGATGGGACCAGGTAGAGGTAACTGAATCATAGGGGTGGTTTCCCTCATTCTCTTCTCATAATAATAAGCAAGTTTCACAAGATCTGATGGTTGTATAAACATCTGGCATTTCCCCTGCTTGCACTCATTCTCTCTCCTGCCACCCTCTGAGGAGGTGCCTTATGCCATGATTATAAGTTTCCTGAGGCCTCCTCAACCATGTGGAACCGTGAGTCAATTAAGACTCTTTTCTTAACAACTTACCCAGTCTCGTGTGTTTCTTCATAGACGCATGAGAACAGCAAACACACCGTATATTCAGCAAGATGGAAAGCCATCAGGATGTTCTGAGCAAAGATGTGACCATACTGTGACTTAGCTCTTCCCATGACATGATCACTCTGATGGCTGTGTTAAGAATAGACTAATAAATACAAGTATGTAGGATGGCAGACATTTAAGAGGGTAAATCATTAACTCAAGCAAAAGATGGTGATAGCTCGGGCCATGCCACAAGCATTGGTGGTTGTGAGAGTATTTTTTTCTAATTATCACTTAGGACTATCACTCCTCTTATTTTGTTATATCACTTTAAAAAATGTCAAATGTTTAGAATGATAATCCTTAAAAACTGAAGTGGAGGAGAAATGCAAAACAACTTTTGGTCTTTAAGGGTAGTAATGGAGGAAAGAAGTTGGGCACAGATAACAGTGAAATGCTAATTACTTGAAACTGTTTTTTCCCACTAGATATAATAGCAATAGTCTCCAAAGACTCACACCTCACATAAAACTTAGCCCTATTTGTAATCACACTTCTATTGTTGATTAGAAAAGAAAATTCTGTAGGTTAGTTCTTCTCTGTACCCATAGTTGGTATTTGCTTTACGAACAAAGTCAAGTTCTGGAACATTCTTTGGCTAATATATTGAGCATACTTATTAGGGTGGTGGCACTTCTCAGAAACCACAACAGATTTATGGAACAAATTTGTTCCTCAGAGGTCTTGGTCGCTGTCCCAATGCGCTCCTTTTTGGAGACCAGAGACTCTAGCATCGGTTGAGCAGTGCTTCCTCCTCAGAGGTGTGGGCTACAGGTCCAAGGGGCCACTAATTCAAACTTTTAACTTCAACACGATCCCTTTCTTCCCCCAACTCTAGAGGTGGCAGCTGCTTCCTGCAGTTTCTACCCTAGTAATAATTTTGTCTTTGCTTTTTTGCTTTTAAATGTATCCAGTGAACAATTTTTATACCTGTTTTTCATATTAAATCCTTTCTGTTAAAATTACTCATGATTTTGACTTCCTAACTGAATTGAATCCGAAATTGGAATTAATATTGTCCCAGGAAATAGTTCTTTGAAGATGAAATTTAGGGATTGGTTTGGTAATTCATTGGACTTGAGTTCAGTGCTGAGATTCTGGCCTTGAGAAATGAGATGCTCATAATTTATGAAATGCGGTGGTATTACAGTCAAATTATTATTTGTGATTGATTGGACTGGTGCATCTAGTGCAGCAAGTGCCTCAGGATGCCAAGGGTCTCATACACTTAACTCTGTGGCAGATATATAGTAATAAGTCCTGCAAGGACTTTGATATATGAATGTGTCTGTGTGTGTAGTGGGGGGTGTAGGAGGGTGTACACAAGCACTTCAAGAGAATGACAAACTCAGATCTTTAAACACTAAGCTTGACTCATGGTTAGAGGGTCCTAAAAGAGCCTCTGATTTTGTAACCAGAAGGTCAACATTGTCAGAAACCAAACACAAGATTTAATTCTGTAGGTTGCAGAAGTGTCACAGCCTCCCCGAATTTCTCATGTGAAACTTTGAGCCCCCATGGATCCATTGGGAAGAAAAGGATCCATGAGGATGGGTAAACCTGGATGGACTCAGCTATCTCAGCATATTGAAATCTGACTCACTGTGGCTTTTCTTTGACAGTGGGAGCAATCTTCCCTTTTGTATCTGAGGAAGCTCGTCTTCTCTTGCTTGAAGACCTACTAATACCCCTAATTAGATGATCATTATTCTCAAAACCCACCCCAATGGAAGTTACAAAACATAGAGGAAAAAAAACCCAGGGGAAACACTTTGTAACTTTGATCAGGGCAAGGATGTTTTGAACAAGATGTCAAAAGCATACGCAACGAAAGTACGAATAGGCAAATGGGTGTCATCAAATAAAGAGCTCTGCACAGCAAAGAAAACAGTCAACAGAATGAAGAGACAGCCTCTAGAATGGGTGAGAATATTTACAAACTACGTATCTGATAAGGCGTTAGTATCCAGAGTGTAAAAGAAACTCAAAAAACTCAATAGCAAAAAAACCAAATAAAATAAATCAGACGGGCAAAATATCTGAATATACATTTCTCAAAACAAGACATACAAATGGCCAAAGGATATATGAAAAAGTGTCCCACATCACTAATCATCAGGGAAATGCAAATCAAAACCAGAATGAGATAACCCCTCACCTCAGTTAGAATGGCTGTTGTCAAAAATAAAAAATAACAAATGCTGAGGAGGACGTGGAGAAGGGAGAACTCTTATACACTGTTAGTGGAAATATACATTAGCATAGCCATTACAGAACAACAATATGGAGGTTCCTTTTTATAGAACTACTCAGCAATCCCACTACTGGGTATGTATGTCCAAAGGAAATGAAAGCAGCATATCTATGAGATATCTGCAGTCTCATATTTATTACAGCATTGTTTGTAACAGCCAAGATAGGGAACCTATGTGTCTATCAACAGACGAATGGATTAAAAAAATGTGGCATATACACACAATGGAATACTACTCAGAAATTAAAAGGAGGAAATCCTGTTATTTGCAACAACATGGATGAAGATAGAGGATATTATGTTAAGTGAAATAAGCCAAACACAGAAAAAGAAATACAACATGGACTCACACCTGTGGAATCTAAAAAGTTGATCTCGTAGAAGTAGAGAGTAGAACAGTGGTTACTGGAGGCTGCAGAGGTAGGAAGGAAGAGGAAATGGAAAGAGGTTGGTTAACAGGAGGAATAAGTTCTGGTGTTCTATTGCACAGCAGGGTGACTATAGTTAACAACCATGTATCGCATACTTCAAAATAGCTAGAAGAAAGGATTTTGCATGTTCTTGACACAAGGAAATAACAAGTGTTTGAGGTGATGGACATGCTAATTACCATAATTGGATCATTACACAATGTGTACAGGTACCAAAACATTACACTACATTATATAAATATGTGCAATTATTATGTATTCATTAAAAACAAAATAAAGCTCAAAAAAACCTTACCACAATGGCTTTATGTTGCTCCCAGACCCGTAACTAGATTTTAATCCCAGCAAATTTGGGTGGGGGCAAGTATGAAGCCTGATGGGAGGAAATAAGATAATTGCAAGGTTTTGATAATTTATGAATTCAAACTGGTGGAATCTGTAGATCAAGGAATATGGAATATAAACTTGGGTTGTGTCTAATTTAATGATATGAGTTCTCCTGCCCGGTACTCTAGATTACAGCTGGTAGTAGTGCTAAAAGTGTATTTGGTGGATTGATTAAAACTTGGGCTATGTCTAATGAGGGTAAGATGTTAGATTTTTCCTAGCTTAAAGAGAAAGAAAGCCAAAGGCTTGGAGATATAGGAATGCTGAAGAATATTTATCATTTGTGCCCTACACACCCACCAACCCCTACACTTCATTCCTTAATGGGGTCTAGATAGCAATTTCTTCTTCCCCAAGGTATTAAGAAATATGTTAGTGAAAAGAGCAGCAACATCCTTAAAAGGTTGAACTATATCGATACTCTAACACCTCATAATTGCAGTGGGAGAAGCCACCATTAAGATGGGCTCTCTTAAGTCACTGAGATTGAAGAGGCCTGGGATAGAAGTGGCCAATTGGCAATGCTTTATCACATATGACAAGATGGGTGCATTTATTGTAATGCACAGCAGGACACAGTGATAGTCAGAATTCTTCTGACTTTGTAGTGGCCAGTTAATCTTTAAGAAACAGAGGCTGGGTGCGGTGGCTCACACGTTTATTCCCAGCACTTTGAGAGGCCAAGGTGGGAGGATCACCTATGATCAGGAATTTGAGACCAGTCTGACCAACGTGGTAAAACCCCACCTCTATTAAATATCCAAAAATTAGCTGGATGTGGTGGTGCATGCCTGCAATCACAGCTCCTTGGGAGGCTGAGGCACCTGGGAGGCGGAGGTTGCAGTAAATCAAGATTCTAGCCTGGGTGACAGAGTGAGACCCTGTCTCAAAAAAATAAATAAATAAATAAATAAAAATTAAAATTAAATAGAGAAGCAGCTCACTAAAATTTTGCTTTACATAACAGGAAAAACTCCATTCTGGTGGTCAGAAACCTGACTTCGGTCATCTCAACAAAGAATCCCTGTCTTTTACCTAGTTTCCACACCTAAGCCAGTTCACAGTTCAAGTCTTTTGAGTGCTGAGAGGTCAGGTCTCCTTGAGGATCTTCTCTGTTGCTCTGTCACAAGCATACACTGTAAAGATTCTTCTAAGCTTTCCATGAAGGGACCTGTGGCCATTTAATAAGGTCTATACATGGAGAAAAGGAGAACCCAGATCTTTTAGGAATGACTAAATACTGCCTGTTGAGGATCTGATCACCACTTTTGTCTACCAGTCAAGGTGGAGGCTTATGGAGGTCAGGTGATACAATGGCCCCCGACCTCTTTGGCACCAGGGACCAGTTTCGTGGAAGACAATTCTTCCATGTAGGTGGGGTGGGGAGTTGGTGGCTTTGGGATGAAACTGTTCCACCTCAGATCATTGGGCATTAGATTCTCATAAGGAGTGTTTAACCTGGATTCCTCAAATGCATGGTTCACAATAGGTTCACACTCCTATGAGAATCTAATGCTGCTGTTGATCTGACAGGAGGTGGAGCTCAAGTGATAATGCTCACCCACCTGCCACTCACCTTCTGCTATGTGGCCCAGTTCCTAACAGGTCATGAACTGGTATTGATCAGGCGGCCTGAGGGTTGGAGACCCCTTAGGTAATACACTGAATTTTGACCAAGTAAGTCCATCATTATTTCTCTGGTTCCTGAATAAAAAATTGAAAAAAGATGTATTGGCAACAGACAGATACCCCACATTGGATATCTGACTGATTGAGTCAAGATCATTATTATAGGAAGGGCCAAATGAAAACCTATGGAATCTTTATTTTCTGCCATGATAGTAAACCATAAAAATACTGGGTTCCTGGGAGAAGTGAAGATGTTAGTCTCATCATAAAAGTCTTAAAAGATGTAGAGATATTGACAGCTCTCTTATTCTAATTTAAGTCACATGGTTGGCCTATGTAAAAGGATTCTAGAGAATGACTGTAAATTATAAACTTGATAAGGAAACAACTCCAATGGCAGCTGCTGTTCTAGATATAGCAACGTCACTAAAATAAACCAGCATAACTTCCTGATAAGTGGCATGCAGCTATTGAGCTGGCAAATATTTTTTCTCTATACTTATTTGCAATAAACATCAGAAGCAAATTCTTTTTATCTGGTATGACTAACAGTAAAACTTCACAGTTTTGCCTCAAGGCTACATCAATTTGTCTGCTTTCTGCCATATGGCAACCTACGGAGTTTTTTTTTTTTAGACGGAGTCTTGCTCTGTCACCCAAGCTGGAGTTCAGTGGTGTGATCTCAGCTCACTGCAGCCTCTGCCTCCTGGGTTCAAGTGAATCTTCTACCTCAGCCTCTCAAGTACTAGGACTACAGGTACACACCACCATGCCCAGCTAATATTTGTATTTAGTAGAGATGGAGTTTCACCATGTTGGTCAGGCTGGTCTCAAACTCCTGACCTCAAGTGATCTGCCCTCCTTGGCCTCTCAAAGTGCTGGGATTACAGGAGTGAGCCACCATGCCAGGTCCCTACAGAGATCTTAATTGTCTTTCCCATACAACATTACACTGGGGAAAGAAGTTGGCTGATATCCATAAAAGGTCTCATTTTACATACATATATACAAATGGTGGGAAGGGCTGACACAGAGCGTCTCCTGATACAATTCACTAAAAAGAACCTATTAGTTTCCTGCTACTGCTATAACAAATTACCCAAAACTTAGTGCCTGAAACAACACAGATTTATTCTCAGAAGTCTAAAGTGAACATCACAACAGGGCTGTGTTCCTTTCAGAGGCATCTGGGAGAGTGTTTCCCAGCCTTTTTCACCGTGTAGAGGCTCCCTGCTTTTCATGACCCCTTCCTTGCATCACATCAAACTTGTCCTTTCATCATCAGATCTCCTTCTACTAATCCTGATCCTCCTGCCTTCATCTTATGAGGACATTCTGATGACATTGGACCCACTGAGATAATCCAGATTGATTTCCCCGTCTCAAGATTCTTATTCTTAACTTAATCACCTTTCCAAAATCCCTTTTACCATGTAAGCCGATATGTTTACAGGTTCTGTGAATTAGGACATGGACATCTTTGAGAGAGGGGGGCATTGTTCAGAGTGCCACAAGACCACAGCATCAATTCTATGGTTTGCTATAGAATTTGTCATGTGAAAATAGTTATAGAATTGGTCATGTGAAAGTATCAGGTGGACTCAGTTTGAAAGTCACCATAAAGAATCAAAGAGCTGAAACTGTCAAAGACATAAAAGAGAGGAAAAGAGGACCTACTCCAGATTGAAGGAGATTCATAAAACATGATGGCTAATGCAACACACGCATGATTCTTAAGTAGAAAGCTTGAATACTTAGTAAAAATTGAATGGAGTCTGGTTTGGATGAGTGCTATTTCAATATTGAGAGAAAAACATATGATTATTTTAATGGATGGAGAAAAAACATATATATAACTCCTACAACTCAGTAAGAAAAAGGTACACAACTCAGAAGAAAAATATACAGAATAACTGAATAATTTGCACAAGACTATTTAAATGGTCATATAAAGGACTCAACTTTACTTGTTTCAGAGAAATGCAAATTAACACCGTGATATGATGCCACTAAACAAGCAAAGGAATAGCTAAAATTATTAACAGTCCCTAGTGTTGGTTAGAATATAGAACAACTGAAAGTTTTTGTTTTTTTTTTCTTTTTTTGAGACGGAGTTTCGCTCTTGTTACCCAGGCTGGAGTGCAATGGCATGATCTCGGCTCACTGCAACCTCCACCTCCTGGGTTCAGGCAATTCTCCTGCCTTAGCCTCCTGAGTAGCTGGGATTACAGGCACACGCCACCGTGCCCAGCTAATTTTTTGTATTTTTAGTAGAGACGGGGTTTCACCATGTTGACCAGGATGGTCTCGATCTCTAGACCTCGTGATTCACCCGCCTCGCCCTCTGAAAGTGCTGGGATTACAGGCATGAGCCCTCGTGCCAGGCCCAACTGAAGGTTTTATAGATTGCTGATGGGAGTGTAAATTGGTACAGACATTCTGAAAACCTGGCGGTATTTACTAGAAACTAAATATATACTCCATGTCCCAGCAATACCAACCCTAGGTATATATAGCCAACAGAAATGAGTCCATACATTCACCAAAAGACATGTTCATAGAAGCAGTATTCGTAATAGCCAAAAATTAGAAAAACCCAATGCTCATCAACAATGTAATGAAAAATAAATTGTGGTATAGTCACAAATTTATAGTAATGGTTTTCAAGGTTTTTGGTCTCAGGACAGCTTTACTTTAAAAAAAAAATTATGGCAGAACTCAAGGGACTTTTGTTTATGTATTTTATATTTTGTTATATCTACCTCATTTATCATATTGAAAATTAAAACAGAAAATTTTGTAAACAGGAATGCATGAACACCATCATGTACATTGTAGCCTCTGTGCAACTCCACTGTACACTCATGAGAGAATGAGAATGAGGAGACATATTATATCTTAGTGTTTTATAAAAATGTTTTAGATCTTGTGAACGCACTGGAAAGGTTGCAGGCACCCCAAGAGT